TAGGTTAAGAAATGATGTAATCAGCCATTTTCATAGAAAAATACTGCTCACTGTGAATAAAGGAAGTTATATTTTGTTGAAAGTCCAGGTAAACAAAGACTAGTAAAAAATTCGGATGATTAGGAGCTTTATTCTTACGGCTTAAAAAGCCCGTTTTCCTTTTCAGCAACTATTTATAAGACATTCCAAACTGAATTTAAAGAATAGTTTAGTGCAGCTTATGCAAGAAAATGAAAAGCCCAAATCTGCCAATTTTGTAGGAGTTTGTGCAAGGCATGGAGCAGAAATGAGAGAGAACCCAAACCCAAGGAATAAAATTCTTCTGTTCTTCCTCTCTCCTCTATTTCCTGTTACTGGATGTTTAGTTATATAATAAAAATAATATTGATTGTATGTAAAAATGTTTTGACTTGGAGATGTAGTAGATGAGAAAGGAAAAAGGTACCTGCTAGCAATTTTGAAAGTTATTAGGCAGTCGTAGGAGAAAACTACCTGTGTAGACTTTACACTGAGGAGATGTCCTAAACAATTTTCAAGAGATTGTGTAGGAAGTTAAGAGAAATAATTTGGCAAAACATTTCTGCTTTGATGGCCATGGATTTTCTCACTGTTCTCACTTTTGGAGAGAAGGAGTGGATGCAAGTTTGAGGAGAAAAAAGCTTATTCCAGGATGTAAACGTAACTTTTAACTGATTAGCCACAGTGTGTTTGGAATTGTGTATGTTTGGGCTTCAGATTAGCTATTGAATATGAATATGATGTAATGCATAAGTGAACAATGGTTATAATCACACATCATATTCAAATATATTTTTCCAGAAGCCTATGGGAGGAAAGGGACCTAGCTTCTTACTAGTAAATTAAAAAAACTGTTAATGCAGTGTATTAAATAGCAAAGACAGGAAAACTAAATCTATAATAGCAGCAAAGTATTTTTTCATTGGCCATTACAAAGACAAGAAAGAGGTGGGAGAAACCAGCTATTTGAAAAGACAATGAGTAACGAAGTAAATTCACATCTGGATCAGTGGGCTGAGGCCAACAGTATGAGGTTCAATAAGGTGAAGTACCAGCTCCTGCACTCAGGTCACAACAATCCTATGCAGTGCTGCAGGCTGGGAGCAAAGCAGAAAAGGACGTGGGAGTGCAGGTCAACAGAGCTGAACATAAGCCAGCAGTGTGAGCAGGTGGTCAAAAGGCCAGCGGCATTCTGGCCTTTAGCAAAAATAGTGTGGCCAGCAGAACCAGTGCACACTGATGAGGCCGTATCTCAAATCCTGTGTTTAGTTTTGTATCCCTCATGACAAGAAAGGTGAGGTGCTGGGGCAAGTCCAGAGAAGGGCAGCAGAGCTAGGGAAAGGTCTGGAGCACAAATCTGATGAAGAGTGGCTGATGGAGCTGGGGTGTTCAACCTGGTGAAAAGGAGGCTCACAGGGGATTTTATCACTCTCTACAACCACCTGAAAGGAGGTTGTAACCAGGTGGGGGTTGTTCTCTTCTCCCAGGTAATAAGCGATAAGATGAAACGAAATAGCTTTAGGTTGTGCCCAGGTAGGTTTAGTTTGGATATTAGGAAAAAGATTCTTGACCAAAAATGTTATCAAGCCCCAACACAAGCTGCCCAGGGCAGTGGTGGAGTCATCATCCCTGGAAGGAGATAAAAGATGTATAGATGTGGCATTTTGGGACACGATTAGTGGTGGGCTTGGCAGTGTTGGGTTGACAGTTGGACTTGATAATCTTAGGGGTCTTTTCCAACCTAAGTGATTCTATGATTCTATAAATATAGTTAAAAAACAAGTCTTTACAGTATTTTAAGGAAACCCTGTTAACAGGAAGATGTACCTATAGCCAATAGGAATAATTAAGCCTTTTCTCACCTAATTTGATAGGCAATAAATAATAAATGAGATCAGCTAGGTGACATTAGAAAATTCTCTGGTAAAGGATTAGAAAAAACTGAGGAAATAACGAACATGTTATCAGTGAATATTTTAATACTAAATCCTGGTTCTGGGCAGTATCTCTATTTGGTGGGAATGTCCTGTGCAATGGGAACAGTCTAGAGATGTGATTCTGGGTGTGGGAAGTAATGGAAAGGATTAGAAGAATGTGTGTTGGCTTCGTACGTAGATCTGATTAGCTAATATGTTCATTATTTGATTGTGATATGTTACGTGAAGTGATTTTCTTACTTAGGTGGGCATATGACAGAAGTTTGTTGTAATTAGGAGTATATGAAAATGGTAAAATAACCTGACTGTCAGAGTGCAGTGAGGGGAGGCTTCAAAATAAGGAAAATGAGGACAGTATTGTAGGAGACCTTGGAAGAGAGAAGTTAGAAAATGGGAAGCTGTTATTCAGGTATTAAAAGCAGGAGTGAGTTGTGTCAGGTTGATTTCTATGGCGATAGAGAGAAAAAATGGAATTTTGGATTGATCGGATGGCCTAAAATAGGAGCTTGTAGGTAGTCAAAGTCTTTCAGAGGGTAGATAAAAGGACTGAACACATTGTCATCATCATCTGAAGCTGATGCTGCAGATTTAGTGATTTTGTCTTCATTTGTTCTTGAAGAGTTCATTAACTAATAAACTGGTTATGATAATGCTTAAACCAGACTATGCATGAAGCCAAAACTAAAGTACACATTACTTTTTAAGCTTGGCTTATACCAATAAAGGTGGCATCTGGACAATAAATTATTGGAGTATGAATTAGGACATAGGGTAAGATTTTTCACTTTATAACTTTTTGGATTTAAACTTGTCTCTGAAAATTCCTTTAGATTTTGGGAAGAACTTAGGCTATTCCATTTAGGTACTGTAGTGTGAATCCTTGGTAGAGTTTTTACTGGAGTAATCATGAATTCTTGTATTGTGTGATGCTGAGGTCAAGGTAAACAGAGGTGAGTGCCATCAGTGTTGAGTGTAGTAGTAACATAAGAATGAGTGGGGCTGGATGATGGTGGGTGAGGATGATAAACCCAATCAAATAGTGAGACATTGCAGAGGAGGGGATTATAACCCAAAAAGTGGCCATGAAGGTGGCTGCTAGAGGTGTGAAAGAAGAACTGTAAGAGTAGTGTCTCATTTCATGACTGTCATGCACAGCAGAAGTACAGACAAGGGTTGAGATTTGCCATGGCAATATGTTGTTGTTTGAGTAACTTTAGTGAGAAAACAGTTCAGTGAGAAATTGAGTTTCAGTGGAAGAAAAGAAGCCAGATAGTAAAATGGTCAAAAAGAGCACTCAGGGATTCCACATTAGCATCAGTTTCATATTCAACATGTATGAGAAGTAACAGCAGGACTGAGATGAGCCAGTAGGACATTTTTGTTGGAGGGAAATGAATGATTATTTAAATGTGTTGCAGAGGTGAAATGCTGTGGAAAAAGCCTTGTCAGTAATCACTGAAAGAAGCCACCAAGTACTTTGTTTTTTTTGTCATCTCCATTAATGGCTTTCTCTCCACAGAATCATAGAATGGGTTGGTTTGGAAGGGACTTTAAAAATCATCTTGTTCCTTCATCCCTGCCATGGGTAGGGACACCTTTCGCTGGACCAGGTTGCTCAGAGCTTGGTGTTGAATAACCTCCAGTTGGGGCATCCACAACTTCTCTGGACAACCTGTTCCAGGTGTCTCACCACCCTCACAGTAAAGAATTTTTTCCTAATATCTAATCTAAACCAAACCTACTCTCTGTCAGTTTGAATCCATTTTCCCTTGTCCTGTCACTACATACTGTTGTAAAAAGCCCATCTCCATCCTTCTTGTCAGCTGCTTTCAGGTACTTGAAGCTGCAGTCAGCCTTCTCTTTTTCATGCTGAACAATCCCAATTCTCTCATAGGAGCCTTTCTTCATAGGAGAGGTGCTCCATCCCTCTGGTCATCTTGCTGGCCTCTTCTGGACTCGCTCCAACACATTGATGTCCTTCCTCTACTGGGGACCCCAGAACTGGATGTAGAGCTCCAGGTGGTGTGGGGTGTCACCAGCACAGAGTAGAGGGGCAGAATCACTTCCTTTTACCTCCTGGCCATGCTGCTTTTGATGCAGCCCAGGACGTGTTTGTCTTTCTGGGCTGTGAGTGCACATTGATGGCTCATGTCCAGCTTCTTATCCACCAACAGCCTCAAGTTGTTCTTGGCAAGGCTGCTCTTGGTTTGTTCATCCCCCAGCCTGAGTTGATACGGGGGTTTGCCGCAACCCAGGTGCAGCACCTTGCACTTGGTCATATTAAACCTCATAAGATTCCCTTGGGTCTACTTCTTGAGCTTGTCCAGGTCCCTCTGGATGACATCCTGTCCTGAAGGTGTGTCAACAGCACCACTCAGCTCGGCGGCATCTGCAGATTTGATGAGGGTGCACTTGATCCCTTCATCTGTCTTGTAATGAAGATATTAAATAACACTGGTCCGAATACAGACCCCTGAGGAACACCACTAGTCACTGATGTCCACTGGAACTCTGAGCCATTGACCACTATCCTGTGGATGTGACTGTCCAACCACTTTCTCCATCTATCCAACAGTTCACTCATCAAATCACTCTCTCTGTAGTTTAGGGACTAAACTGCATGTGGGGGACCAGGCCAAAGGCTTTACAGAAGTCCAGATAAGTGACATCTATAGCCCTTCCCTTGTCCACTGATGTACCCACCCCATCATATAAAGGCCACTGGGTTGGTCAGGCAGAACTTTCCTTTGGTAAAGCCATAGTGTCTGTCCTGAATCACCTCCCTGTCCTGCATGTGCCTTAGCATTGCTTCTAGGAGGATCTGTTCTGTGATCTTCCCAGGCACAGAGGTGAAGCTAACAGGTTGGTAGTTCCCAGGGTCCTCCTTTCTACCCTTTTTAACAACGGGTGCAATGTTTCCGCTTTTCCAGTCACCTGGAACTTACCCTGACTGCCATGACTTTTCAAATACCACAGAGAGTGCTTATACTGACTTGCAGACCAGCTCTTGGCTTGATCTTTAAACTCTGGTTGTACTTCTAGAGCATCTCATTTGTCTTTGATGCCTCTTTTTTTTGTTCCTTTGTTTGCCTTGGTCATTCTTATTTTATCTCATTTAGTGATACTTTCTCTGTGGATCTCAGCACAAATTTGGATGTTGATTTTGTAGGAGAGAAAACTTCTGATGTGTTTCTACAGCACTGTGTAGAGAGCCACATTGTTTCTTGTGGGGCTTCCTGAATGTTGCTGAAATACCCATATTAAATAGCAATCAAGAATTGCTGTCTGCTGTCCCTAAGATAGATCTTTCTGTAGAAGGCTGCTGGAAGAACACAGTCCAGGAAAATTTGTGATGGTTTAGGAAAAATCTGTATATTTATGTGCTTTCTGTCTTAGCTATGAGATAATCCTTGCTTCTGGTTATCCTTTCATCCACATAACTGAACACCCTTGTCTTGCTGGTGTTTGTCTGTGATTGCAGCCTGTCCTGCACTGGATTTGCTTTCTAATGCTCAAGAAAACCTACCTAAACTTTGCAGGAGGCTCATGCTTGGTTATAAGGGACCCTCCTTTGCTATTTTATATCCCTCCTTTCCTGGCCTGGGAAAAGGCAGTTACACCTCCTGTACTCCAGACATGCCAGGGTATTGAATAAAGCCTTGCAGACTTCTCTGGAAACCAGAGCAAGCAGTGAGCCCTTCTGCTGCTTCAAAACCAGTATTTCATGTGGAGCCAACCAGGACTGGGGGAGTTTAATGTATAGTGACACCTTTGCACCAATTTACAAATAGAAACTATGAGTTTTTACCTGTACACAACACTTCTGGCCTGTTGTATTCAGCAGATAAGCTGGAAGGACTCTGAGCGTAAACAGTTTCATCATTTCAGTGTTTGTATACTGAAACACCACAGTGCATCAGAGATTAAAAGATGGACTTCTAATGTAGAGTTTAGAAAAAAAAAGGTAAACTTAAAATATGAGGGTTTGCATTTTTTGTATTTGAAAGCTGTGGTAAAAAAAAATCTAGTATAGGATAAGTGAAATGTGAGGTTATACTTTCTATTGAATTGGGATTTCTTGCGTTAATCTAGATTTTTTTTCCAAAGTCTGAATTTCAAATATGTTGTAATGATAGTAAGTAGGAAAATCTGCATAGCACTTTTGAAACTAAAGGGTGCTTCCAAAAAAACCAAAATGCAGATCCATTCAGAAACTTCTAATTTAGGCAAATTTTAATGTGGGATGTGTGTGTACTCAGACATTCAGCTTTGCACTCAAACATACTCTAAACATTGTTTTTGAGTAGGAAAAATCTAAGAAAGTATTGATAATGTTGCTGCTTAGCACAAAGAAGCACAGTAAATTGAAATTCTCCTCACTGTATGTCTTGGAGCCTGTTTCACTTGACTCATCAAATGAAAAATTCATCAATTAATCCTCTGACAATAACAATATATACACAAAAATCAATCCTGGATTGATTTTTTGAGCCCAAACATGAAAACTAACCCTTGGCTTGCACATAATGTGAAATTTCTCTTTGTTTCAACCTTATTATTGAGTATAAAAGCTGACATGTTCATAGAATTATTTGTTCTAAGTCAACTACAAAGGTGGGATTGTATGAGGAAGGTTGTACGCACCATGAAGATGTTCTGAAGCACTATCAGAGCCAGCTAATAAAGTTGTCAGATGAATGTAAGAGCACAGCTGGTAGGAGTCCCCCCAGAAGGCAGCGGGTAGAGAGAGACACTGATCGCTGGGATCTGACATGAGACCACCCAGGGTAGTCAGAGTCAGATGCATACCAGTCAGGATCAGTGGTAGGGAAGAGCAGTGAAGTGGGAGTATGGAAATGGTCTTGATGGGGGAACACCAGTGCTACAGCCAAATCAGTAAATCGTAAGGCTGAGGCAAGTTGCTTCACAAGGACAGTAACAAAATCTCAGCAGCAGAAAATGAGATAATAATTTGTCAGATCTCCTGCTTGTAATTCATACTGCCTTTTCAGTGAAAAGGAAAATTGCAAGAGATTCCATGTGCATTATGGTGGCTAGTGCATTGCTTTCTCTTTCTTTCCTTATAGAATCCACTTCAGGGTGTGTAAATGATGAGAGGTCTTCCCTAAAAAGACAATATGCTAATCTGATGAGAAGTTAAAAGCATTAGTTTGTATATGTTGCTTCATTTGAGATCAGATTGATGCTGGGAAGTATTTTTGTACCAGCTTATATATCAAAACACGTAAGGTACACAGTAGATATTCCAGACAAGAAAATCTATCAGATCTCTCAAGACAAACAGAGATTGCTTTTTATTTGAGGTATAAAAGAAAACTAGCCTAGTTCCTGCATTATGTGTATAAGCTTATGGATTTTACTCCTCAGATCATCAGATTAATACTTCAAGCAACCTTACTTCCAGTGTAAGAAACAGTATTGAATAAGTTAGCAACTTATTGAATAGCAATAGCAACGTATTGAATAAGTTCTTGCTTCTGTATGCCCTGTGAAGGAGATAAAATCTTTTGAGTGAAAGAACTAATTTTTTGTTCTTTGTATCACCTCCAGCAATGAGTCCCTGCTTCCATCCCATATATAAAAATAATATTCAGACTCCAAAGAACCTAAATGATGTTAAAGAGTTGAAAATGGACACACTGTACTACACAAAAAAATAATCAAAAAGCAGATGTATTAACTTCTGATGAGTCTTTTTGATTGTGTGTATTCACAGTGCAGATCAATATTAACATATTTATCAAGTTCTAGATATGTGAAGGGTGGAAACACGCTTTAGGAGTACTCGCTTGATATTTCCTCAGTCATAAAACTGCAGAGAATTTTGGTAAGAACACAAGCTGTGAGATACTGTGTTTATTATTTTCACTTTCTTAGCTGAATGCTAAGACCATTGTCTTCAAAAATTTTATGTGGTAGGAACAAGGAAGTTGTCATGACTGCTTGTCAGCATATTAAATATTCAGATGCATGTGATGAATGAGACTCCAAAGAGAATATCAGGATCTATATCTGTTACCATGAAATATTTCTTCCTAAAATATTGCTGCAAAGTATGACTCATTGCAGTTGAATTTGTTTGCCCTTTCAATTTACAATTCTATTAAGAGTCTTAAAGTGTAGACAGTTTCAAAAATTATATTCGTAGGTTTTGCTGTTGTGTCATGTAATTAGAGACTGAAGAAAGTTAGGAGGGAAAATGGTAGTTGGTATAACATATTTTAAGTTGTATTAAAGTTGAGTCTGAATTCTGGTCTTTTGTTTCAGCTGTACTTCATACATTTTTTTTATATATTACAGATTTACATAATCGATCCCTGTGGGAAATGTACTGTTACAGAGAGTGAGTAATAAAGAGTAACTTAAAAGTAGAGAGTGTGTATATATTTCAGAATATGCTTCAATAATTTATTTTTATAATGTTTATTTGGATTTACCTTTGTGGTTTAGATCATATTGGTAATGTATATTTTAAATTTTATCATGAATTCTTGTGTGCATTATTTCTAAATATGAGGCTGAAATGTACTATGGCCATTTCTGCAAATCAGAATTTTTTTTTTTAATTCAGGTTAACATTAATTTGTAAAATAATAAAGTAATGTGCTTTGTCTTTTCAGAGTGCATTTATAGGATATTTTCATTTGTGAATTACTTTAATGCTTATAAAAAATTTAAATGTAAGGAGGATTACTTTTTTCCTCCTTAATATATAAATTTCCTCATAACTTAGGTTTGTATCGTATGGTCATCTACAGGTAAATTGGCAAGATTGCTCAGTAATAGCAGAGCCATTATTCAGGCATGATGCATTGGGACAGATTAAAATTTTTAATTCTCCCTTTTCTTTAAAACACATTTTGAAAGTTTTCTTCTTTGAACAGAAACCTTACACATTTTTTCCGAACAGCATCTAATCCAAAGTGCATCTAATCATCTGGCATATTAATTACTGCTGCAGTTGCAGACCTAGCAAGGAAGGTGGTCAGCAGGTGGCAGACCTCCTTGGCAGTGGTGCTGCGGAAGGAGAGCTGGATCCCACAGCAGAGGAGACACATCATGTTAAGAGCTCTGCTTTTGCCAGGAGGTTGCCAGTGTTTTCTGGAGTTCCCCATTTTGTAGTGGAGTTGTAGCTGCCTTTTGACATAAGCTCTTCTGAAAATGCATGTCTGAGACACACTGAACATCTAAAGCAACTTAGTGATTTTCAGTGTTTTTATTTTCTACTTTTAGCAAAATCTACATTTAAAGCTGATTATTTATGAATAAATATGGTGGAGTTTTGCCAGTCATGCACATATCTGCTTTTTATTATATACAGCTTGAATTATAATTTAGATGAGTGAAATAAATACAGAATGACCTAGTGGAATTTTTTAGGCATTTTTTTTTAATACCTTGTTGTATATAATTATATCAGCATTTTCAGATGCATATGGTAAACTTAGACACCAAATCCACATTAATACATTACTTCCTTAAATCTCATAAACTTCAAAAAAAAGCAGCAGATAATAAGGATCTCCTTACAGGAGAACCATTCTTCTCAGAATCACAGAATATGCTGAGTTGGAAGGAACCCACAAGGATCATCTAGTCCAAATCTTAGCCCTGCACAGGATATCCCCAAGAGCCACACCATGTGCCTGAGAGTATCATCTAAATGCTTCTTGAACTCTGTCAGGCTTGGTGGTGTGACCACTTCCCTGGGGAGCCTGTTCCAGTGCCCAACCACCCTCAGGGTGAAGAACCTTTTTCTAATATCCAACCTAAACTTCCCTTGACACAACTTCAGGCCATTCCCTCGGGTCTGTCACTGGTCACCACAGAGAAGAAATGGGTGTCTGCACCTTTTCTTCCCCTCACGAGGAAGTTGTGGACTGCAATGAGGTCACCCCTCAGTCTCCTCCAGGCTGAACACACCAAGTGACATCAGCCACTCCTCATATGGTTTCCCTTCAAGACCCTTCACCATCTTTGTTGCCCTCCTTTGGACACTCTCTAATAGCTTAATATCTTTCTTATATTGAGGTGC